GTCAACCTGAGAACCCATCATGGTGAATGTGAATGGAGAGGACTGTGAATGTGGTTTCTGAACGTTAAAGGGTGACAGGTCAGAGAAGATAATCTAGTTCGACCTCGAGGTTGCTAGAAAATGTCTGGGAGTTGTTGAAGAATGCCGACCCAAAGTCAATGGCAGCTCTGGCTTTTTAGATCAAAACTCTCCGGGATCGCAATTTTTATTGTCCCATGCTACAAAATATCGTGAACCCCGGATTCCAACGGCTAGCTTTCCACTCTTCCCCATGTGATGATGTAAAAATGTCGGCCAAAGTTGACCGATCTCTCCGACCCCGGAAATCTCCCCTCCTCCAAGAGTGCAAGGCTCCCCGCGAGATCAGATCGGTGTCTCCAAACCCCCCACATTCCGCCCCTCAATTGTCAGCTTTAGTCTGCTTTGCCCATCGTTGAGGCTCGTGTCGTCCTCGGCTTTTCCGGGAAGTCAAAGGGACACCCCATTTATTGTCGGCTTTTCAGCATTGTGGCCGGCGTGGTGTAGTGGCATACACCTGGCAAGGCCTCTGGAGCCCAGAGGTCGCTGGTTCGATTCCAGCCGCCGGCAACTGCTTTAACTACCTGTGGGAAGGGTAGGGCAGAGCCCAACGCGGGGCCTAGGACCCTTTCCGGGCCCTCGCCAGGGTTTTCTCATATCCACACCCTCCGACCAAGAACGAGTACACGTCGTCAAACAAGTACTGGGGCAGGAATGGTCTTGTACAAATCAGAACCTGTACGAGGGGCCTGTTTCGGCAGGCCCCCCAGAACCATCCGGCCTTAAGCCGCAAAATTCAAGAATGGAACTGGGGCACCAGCGGGAACCAGGGACAGATAGAACGCATAGTAGCCATAAGGCACGATTTGGAGGACAATTTGAACTGTATTTAGCAATAGTTATAGGGCAACGGCTCTCCACGCCATATACCCTTCGGGAGGTCGGCCGCAAGGGCGGCTGCGCCCTTGCCGCCACGGCGACACACACACACATTTTCAGCATTGTGGGAATCTCCGGGGCCATATGCACGCTATTTAAAGCCGAAAAAACGCGTTTGTGGCAATATTGACCGGCAGTTCTCCAAAACAACATCGCCGAGTTGTCACGTTGGCCCAGTTTCGCTGGTAATAGCCATGGCTAGTATTTGGCTCAGTCAACATGCCCGGTCGTCCGTCCGAGAGGATTCAAATACCAACAAAGACTCTGAGAAGTGACGAAGTATGAACAAGTATTTGAGATATTTGAAGTATCAATTATACAGTTATGTCAGCGTGTTGTTCAAGCGTTTCATTTGTTGTTGTCTAATGCATTGATCTTGGATCATCAAGCGCCATAAACAGCGAATTTGTCCCCTCAAAGTCCGCAAACTGCATCGCGAACCCAAAATCCATCTCATTGTCCAAAATATTCAGCGGGCCCCAATAGTGGTTTAGTTGGAGCATGGCATCCGCCGGCGGCATCGCAGGAATCTGTAAATCCGCGGGGGTCGATGCGGAAAACTTCTTTTCCGCCTTTTGGATGGCCTTGTGTAATAATTTGGCCGACCTGAGCGCCACGATGCACTCGTCCATGGTCTCGAGTATCTCGATAGCCATACCGACTAGCTTTAATAACGGCTGCACTTCGGGCTCTGTCGCTTCTTGTGTCACGTAAACTAGGATCATGGATGCTGCGAAAACGGTGTATGTGGTGTTGTAAAACCTGTGAGACCGTAGCTTTAGTACAAAGTCTCAATTTCAAGCCGTGGGTAGCATAGGAAGTACTGACCAAGTCCGGAAGAAGTCATGATGCTGATATGTCTGGTAAATAATCTCAATGGTCTGCTTAGCAGACTCGAGGCACAGATGAATGCCTTCCTGCGAGCCTGGGATGGAAGCTCGCTCCGCCGAGGTCGATGTAAGAATTATTGACCCAAACAAGAGTATTCTAATGTTGAGAAACCCTGCATCACGATGTTAGTTGCGGCACAAAACTCGTTGGAGAGCGACGGGAGGGTAAGGCTTACGCATAGTCAAGACTAGCCTCTGCCTCTTCATCCACTGAGCCTCCTTCACGCTCTTCAACGAACGCGGCTCAACCGAAGTGGTAGGGCGTATGGCCTCGGGCAGACTTTCCGCCCATCTCTGCAAATCCTGGTCGATTTGGTGCGCCAGGTGGACGGTTCGTGGTACCGTCGTCTCCGGCAGATAGATCCCCAAGCAGATGCTCCGGATGATTTTGGAGTAGTCTACCATACTTTTGATGATAGCGCACGAGGGTGGGTCAACCAGCTCCAAGCTTCCAGAATACTCTGTGTCTGCTTCACCAATGACAGGGAACAGTCGGTTGTGGTATAAATCTGCGCCGAGCGTGTCTGGTCTACCCATCGAGAAGGACATTTCTCTACGCGGGAAGTTAGCATCCTTCCTGACTTCTCGGCACGAGCCGAATTCTTGCTCCAACCAATGTTCTTACGTTTCTAGTGAGTATAGACCCCTGTTCAAAATTGTCAGTCATGTCATTTACACTTCTCAGATGGTTCGGCATCCTTACCACCACGTTCTTGACTCGGCTCTGAGTTCAGCTGGCTCCTTCTTGACATCGGGTCCAGGTTCTCGATTTATGCCCATCGCAAGCGCTGTTCTCACAGCAAGACCGACATACATGTATGCCCCTGTTGAACAGTTAGGAGAGTTTGACGACTTCCGGCAGCATCAAGCACTTACAGTGAGCATTCAGCTCGTTCTGACACACTTTGGCCTTTTCAACCACGTCAGCGTCAAGCATCCTCAGTCGTAAAGCACCGAACTCACCAGGAAGAAATAGCACTGAACCATTTCCAGATCCGTGACCATCCCCAGCTGATCGCACCGCCTCTTGGCTTCATCAAAGAACTTCCGGCTCCACTGCAGGTTCTCGATCCCATTAATCGGCTCATCCTCCCGTACGCCAATGAGTGCGCCCAGAGACAGTATGCTGTAATACAAGGCAACAAAGCTGGAGGGTTCCCGCGCGACGTCCGGCTTCGACCACAACTCCTCGCACCGGTCGAAAAAGATCTTCTTGTCGAGGATCGGGTGGACAAAATGTATGCTGGAGAAGAAGCTCTGCAGAAAGTGCCGGCACTGCGGGAAATGCGTCACCGGTCTCACGGCCGACCTCGGCTCGGTGGCAGCCGCGGGCGTCTGAATTTGGTCTGCTGAGGGTGATGAGAAGGCCGGGTTATGGAGACTTGAGAGGAGGGTTCCGGCGTCGGAGTCCAGGTCCGGGGAGATCACGGGCTCATCGCCGGTCCGTTGGACGTGTGATAGTAGGGCGACGGAGGATGAGCTGCCGTAGAACTCGACGTTCCGAGTGTGCCGGTTGACGCCGAAGATCTCTTGGCCCGCTGCATTCCTTGACCTAGCGCCTGACGGTGAGCCCGCGGCGGTGCTTCGTGATGGGCGTCTTTGGAGGCCGCAGTCTGGGGAGAATCCCTCTGATATCTCGGGGATGGTGGCTGTTACCGAGGCATTGTCATCGACTGACTGGGCCTTGACGGACTCGGCGACTGCGGAAAGGCTCTTGACCTGCTCTTCTAGTTGTCTCACATATCTAGGGGTTTCCGATGAAATAAGCTACAGACGTCAAGATTAAGTTCTTAAAGGGGGCGCATACTCTGGAGTGTAGAGCCTCCTTGACATATCCTGGCCTTTGTAGACACATGTCGCATTCCGATCTGGATTCCCGCGGGCGTTAGCACTACGAACCTTCCCAATGAGGCATTTTTGGCGGCAGAGATTTCATCATCGTCATGGACAAACATACTCTTGCAGTAGGTGCAAGGATACAACTCATCGCACTTGTTCTTCTTCGCCCTGCAGAGGTCGCATGCGCGGGCGGCCCGGGGTCGACGGACCTTGATCCCCGAGTTCTGCGTCGTGCGCTGGGTCTTTGCAGCAGCAGCGTCCATAGGCACAGATGAACCAATGATAAGTAAAGAAAGGCTGAAGAAAAAGTATCAGGCCAGAATCAGATATTCAATGACTTCAGAACCGGAACACCCGCTGTCTTTCATTTGTCGATGGAGATCTTTGGTGGATGGGAAAGCTGGATATGCGTTATGCAGGAAAAAGGTGTGAAAACAGCTGTTGTGCTCGCCGCGTGCATCCGAAACGCTGCCGGCGCCGCAGGAACGTGGGAACGCGCGCTCCAAACGATCGACCTCCACCCCCGCATAGAGTACTACGACGGACGGCAAGCAGATGCGGGGAATGTTCTGTGGGGTAGAGTAGGAACGCCGGGGAGAAGACTCGGGGAGGGAGGGCAGCAAAGAGGCTACGGATAGAGACTAGGAGGAGGGGGGTTGGGGTGAGGGAGACAGATCGAGGGGGAGAGGTTCTTCAAGCAAATTGCCTGTGTCTCTATTGGTAAGCTTGATCGGCCGACACCCTAGTCTCCCGATCTTCGGGGATGTCCTGTTGATTCAAGCGTTCTTAGCTTTGGAACAGATTAAAACAAGAGCTTTGTCACTTTGTGATAGTATGGAGTTGACTCGGGAGCAACCTCACGTGGGATTGGGCTGTGAGAACGGCAATGCGACTGAGTCGCGCACAGAAAGAAAAGGGGGAACCGGTGATCCAGGGAAACAAAGTCATAACTCGGCATGTTATCGATGTACCAACTCCATTCGATCTCTCTCCTATTCTTAGATCGCATCAGACGAACATTCAGGATCGATGTTCACGGCTCCTTGAACCCATCCATGCCTCCTATCCGGACAACTCGAGTCATCTCTTTCTACGATTCTCCCTCAGCTACTGCTCCCTTTGCTTACTAACGAAGTGTTCCCCTCCGAGCGGGGTTACAGAATCTCCACTTGTAACCGGGAATTCCGGGTTGTTTACGTCGGCTTTGCCGCCAGTGTTGCATCGATCGAGAAGGGCCGAAAACGCGCAGAAATTCAGAACTCACTGTCACAAAAGAAGGTTGATCAACAAGCAATTGTGGATAACTTTTCTTGCGATTGCAGGACACAAGGATTTTGAAGCAACTGCGGCGAGACCCGCTTAAAGAGTTTTTCTCATTTCCAGTTCTACCAAAACAGTCTTCGAAACTCAAAACAAACTCGTCCCAAAACAGGAGAGAGAGGGCTCCATAACTAAACGCACACACACGCGTCTGTCGGCAACATCCCGCGGGCCGCGAGACACACAACTCACTTGGTGTCCACAGGCCCCATGTTAAGCTTGTGCGACTCAAACTTTCGCGCCGAGATGCCCTGCTCAAACATAATGTCCAACTCCTCAAACGTGCGTCCCTTGGTGCCCGGAACATCAAAGTAGAGAACCACCAACATGAGAATGCCCATGACAAAGAAGATCCACCCAATGTGACCGCCCATGTTGAGCTCGTCCTGGTTGAAGAGGTACGGCAGAATGATGGTCCACACGGTGGACACAATGGAGGAGAAGGCGAAGCCGAAACCAAGCGACTTGGCACGGAGCTTTGAAGCGGAGACCTCACCGGCCACGGCCATGGAGGCACCCACTGCGGGTCCGTAGGAGATGGAGGTGAAGACCAGCGAAACACCAATCATCAAGAGCGAGGCGTTGGTCTTGGGGAATGCGGCGGCAACACCCATCGTGAAGTACATTGCGACGCAGATAGAGACACCAAAGAACAAGAGCGGGCGGTGGCGGAGCCTGCCCATCATGATAGAGTTGACAATGGCAGAGACAACACCAGCGGCGATACCGACCTGCACGAGCAGGAGGACGGTCTTGCTAGACAGACCAGTCTGGTTGAGGAAGTAAGGGGCGTTGGAAGAGAGCACGGCGCCAGCAACCTGGGGGATGTAGAAGCAGATGAGGATGATGCGCGTGCGTCTCCAGTTGGTGCCCTTGAAGCAGTCTAGGTAGGAAGCGGCCTCCATCTGCAGGCGACGCTCGGTCTCAACGTTGTCGATGATCTGGCCGAGGCGCGCATCGATATCCTCGTTCCGGCCGGAGAGCTTCTCGAGAGCCTTGCGAGCGGCGTCGTGCTTGTTCTTGAAGACGAGCCAGGTGGGCGATTCGGGGACGAAGGGGAGACCGAGGAGGATGAGACCGGGGAAGGTCCAGGCGGCGGCGAAGACGACGCGGAAGGCGGCCTTGTCGATGATGGCGACGCGGGAGAAGCTGGCGGCGATGGCACTGAGCATGCCAAGGTTCTGTGTGGATTATGTGTTAGAGTCATATCCCTCGAGTTGTCGTTTAGTTTAAAGACATTGATAGGAACTTACGAGCATGATAGTGTTGATAGACAAGCAAATGCCTCTGACCGGCAGCGGTGCAATCTCGGAAACGTATGTCTGAGTGGTCGAAGTCAAGAGGCCGACAGCGAAACCAGTGACAATCTTGCCGCCCAGGAACTCAGGCGGTGTCTCGGAGACATAGCTGATGGCGATACCGGCAGAGGCAATGACTGATGCCAAAGCGAAGACGGAGCGGCGACCGAACCAATCTTGCATGTAACCGGCAAAGAGAGAGCCGAACAACATCATGACATTGTACATCGCACTCCAGGCTGATTGCCAGTAGGCGGGGATAATGAGTGTTCCATTGACCTCACTTGCGAAGGTCATTCTAAGAAACGCATAGTGGTTAGTTTGTTATCTCTCGTTATAGTCTTTAGTCGATGAGGGACTTACTGGAATGCCGGCATAGCCAAGCATACAGAGAGTGCCAAGTTCTCGAAACCAATCAAAGTTGAGCCAACTAGATTCCCAGAGTTAGCCGAGTCAACCTACAGACAGTACACTAGGGCAAGGCACTTACAGTTGGCGTAAATAGTCCATAGCAAAACTTTTGGGTTGTCCCAAAGACATTTCATGGGGCTCATGTGGCGATCAGCCTCACGCAAAGCCTCCTCATTGTGCTGAACGTCGACCTTGTCGATCATAACATCGCTCTTGCGAATGTCATCGCGAGGCGAAGTAGGTGATGAGTCCATTGTAAATAAGAACTCTACGACCGGGTGGTCGTCGCGGGGTTGCTTCTGTCGGCGATGGAGTTACGCCGACCCGGAGTCTGGTTCGAAAATGTGCCTACGTTCCAGCGTAATGCACAGTGGCAGGGGGGCAAAAGAGTCTGAAGTTGTCAAAGACGGGATGTCGGTGACTCGAGTTGCCGATTTGGGGATGTTGTTGAGATGGGATGTGTGTCAGTCGATGCCAGAACTCAGATGGGCTGATGGATAAAGTAGGCTCGGAGGGTTATTATCAAACTTTGACCGACTTTGCAGTTGCACTCGTTGACTCCTGGCAGACGCTGGAACCGGGATCGATCCGGGCATGGGTCGGAGTTCCCGGCTGCACCCCAGACTTTCTTCAACACTTTAGGGTGGCGGGGACCCCGGATGGTGCTAACTCGTTTTGACCGGCACATGAAAGAGTGGGTGGCTTAGGTTTCTGTCACGATTGACACGTAAGTGTGCAGCTGATGCACTCTGTTATCCATAGTATTTCTCTTCTTGGCCGAGTATTGGTTTGCATAGCAAGTTCTGCGTTGTTTACTTTCCCGCTGTCAATTCGACCGAGACTACTACACACCTTCACACGTGTACGGATCATCCGAATTCACGATTGAGTTTCTATCACAAAGCGAGGTAGCAAGTGGAAGACTTGTATAGTAGAAAGTGGCTTGATTCCTCTAAGTGGAAGATCCGTATGAGGGTCATATCTATCCCATCGAGTGCTGCAAGGCGACAGTACATTGAGATGCGGGGGAGCAGCCAATCGGGCCACTTCGGGCCCCTTTTTCCAACCAACCAACGTAATTGATAATAGATACTTCCAATTACTAGAGATTCTGCGTATGAAATCGGTACCAGCAATCTTCTGAGTTACAGAGAGCTACATCGCACTCGAGGCAGCCCATCCTCGTGTACTTCCCAGGGATACCGGGCTCAACCTCCGGAGGCTCGCGGGGCCGAACAGTGGCATTATCACATTGCTCCGGCGTACAGTCGGCAGTGCAGGCGGCGGCGAGGTCCTCGGGCAGCAGGGCAAAGATACACGACTTCGCCGAGCCCGTGGAACGGCCAGATCCGTCAGAATCGTCAGAATCCATTAATTGAGTATTGGTAATGATGGATTTGGTAGATGTACCGGAGTGGAAATCATAGGGGCAACTCAAGCAGTGGATGTACCAGATGCGGTGCGGGGTAAAAGGGGGCCCGTTATGTGGAGCCAATGTACTGTCGCCTTGCAGCACTCGATGGGATATACCGTACAAGACGGGTAATCGGCTTGTGGAAAGCGGTATCGTACGGCAGTAACCGGCAGCGCCACGTGTGGCGCTGCGACAGTTTCACATAGTCTGAACTCTTGCATGAACTTGATGACTGACAGTTTGGATGGTTTACGGCTCAACGGAAGCTGAGAGTCTCACTTGATGCAGCCAACCACGTTTCTCAATGGAATTTGCAATTGTCGTGTTATTAGTTCGTAAACCAGATCAGTCCATTTCAAGTTGACTACCTTAGCTCCTACTCAACTAACTCCTTTTTCGGCCCCTGCTCAATTTTTGATCAGGCTCTCCAAAAAGTCAAAGCCTTCTCTCTGAAGATTCCAAGTCTGGGATCCCACCTTCATCTTGGCGGCAAACGTATGTTCCTCGCCCGGAATCTCCCTCAGATCAGACTTGACCCCCTTTTCTTTGAGCACCTTGATCAAATCTTGGCTAAGCTCAAGCGGCACCATAGTATCCGCCTGTCCATGCACGATGAATGTCGGTGGGAAGGACGGAGTGATGTTTCTGATGGGGTCGACAGCATCCCAGTTCTTGTCAGGAACAATGGTGTTCATGACATTGCCGGTGGCTATTTGTGTCATTGCAAACGCCTGTCTTGGATCATCAAAGTTGGGCGGCCCCGGGGCTTGACCTTCCAGTGACACGCCACCTAGAATTGGCACTGGGTCTTCGTCAAAGACTTTGTCCATGAATTCCTTTGTAAGGCCCTTGGGCAATTTTGCTGCCACGTGAGGCAAAGGCTTCTCCCAGAACGCGTGAGTAAAGTTGCTAGGCCCGTACATGTCATAAATACCAGCAACGGGACGATCAACTCCAAAGCCCTGCAAAGTAACCCTGGTGTCAGCATTGATTGAATCTGATACCCGTAATGACTTGCAGACACTAAGGTGCATGAACATACCAAGGCAAGGGATAGAGTGCCGCCAGACGACGTTCCAAAAGCAAAGACATGGTCAGTGTCAACGGCATATGGTCCATCAGCACTAGCGTCAAGGGCCTTCTGAAGTCCACCGTCGTACACCCATCCCAGGAGGTCACGACAATCTCTCATCGGCCCATCCAGAAGCGTGACTTGGGGGCACAGACGGTGATTAGGTGCTAGGACAATCCAGCCTCTGCTCAGACAGTCAGCTACTTGGTCCTTGTTGATCATCTTGGATGAGCCGAGATGGAATGCGCCTCCGTGGATATTGATGACTATTGCGCAAGAGCAGACACACAACTGTTAGTCAGAAGTTTCTCCATTGGTACGGCCCCAGCCGCCATGCAAGGGTTCTGAAGTGTACATACCAACCGGACATTTTGCCTTGTTGGTTTCTCCAAGCGGCGGGGCATAGATATCCACATCGATCTCTTGTGACCCTATGGTCTTGTAGACTGCACGAAAAGAGGTTGGGCTGGCCATGACGAAAAGTTGTTGGTTAGTTGTGTTCTTGGCTGGTAAGATGGCTTTGTCTCAGTATCGGTGACAGCAACAGTGACAGCGGCAATGATAATTAGAAAGACGCAAAGAGTGCAATCAAAAAGTCCGGGGCAATGATGTGGCGGGGGACAACCTAGATAGCTTAACAATGGGAAGCAAACTGGAGACGCGGTCCACGAGGCTCGCTAGAATCGCCCCCCCCGAGCCGGGTTTCCGGACGGCGGAGACCGCGTGGCAAACGTTGGTCACCAATCCTATCTCCATTGTTCGAAACGGTGGGATTTCCGTCACTGTATCGGGGCTGTTCCGGATCTGTTCCCGGGATATCCGAGCTCCCGCACTTTTGAGCCGAACTGGGGGGCCTTTACGAGGGGCAGCAAAACATGTGGTCGCGGTGGGCGGCATCAAATAGTTTCCCGTCGAGATCCAGTAGAGTAAGAATGCGGGGTAGCGAAGCTCTGTAAAAGGCTGGACTGGCGCCGCTTGCATCCCCGGAACGTGAAGAGAGACCATCTTCAGCAAACCCCCTCAACAACTCCAAAGTCTCCAATTTGTGTGTCCACGATCCAGAGATCTAGACCCTTGACAAACGCCCCCACTCACATTCTTTGAACGGCATCTTTTTTTCCCTCTTCTTTTATTGGACAATTGCAAAAAGCACCTTGCCCAACATGAGCATTCCCGTTCTCTCCACCCCTCCTGATGCCAGGACGAGCTACATTATCGATCAGCTCGAGGGTGAACGCGTCACGATCCCCGGCAGCAAGGGTGTCTTCAGAATTCTTGCCTCGTCAAAACAGACCAACGGTGGCATCGCTGTCTTCTCCAGTGGTGCTGTACTTTCTGATGCGCCGGGTTTCCACTGGCACGCCGAGGCGCACGACGTCTTCCTCGTGACCAAGGGATACCTGAAGCTATGGAACGGCGATAAGTGCAGAATCATGGGCCCTGGTGACTTTGCCTATGTCCCTCCTGTAAGTTCACGGACAACACGCACTTAATGGCGTTCGCGGCTAATCCAAGAGCAGAAAGTCGTACACAACCCCGAGCTTCTCGGCCCTCACACAGAAACCCTGGGTCTGGTTGCGCCGGGTGACTGGGTTGACTTCTTCCGTTACGTCGCTGAGCAGTACGAGGGTATCATTGTGCCAGAAAACGACAACCGCGACTTGAAGAGCCTGTTGATCCCCAAGGTCATGGCCGCAAAGGACCGGTTTGACGTGAACTTTGAGCGCAACTACGCTCCCCCCGAAGTCGCAGACTGGCAAGAGTCAGAAAACGTTCTCCCCGGCCCCCTGGAGCCGTACTTCTTGCGCGCCAACACTGGACCCAGATACATCCTGGGTGGTGTTCTCTCCAGACCCTTCATCAACGCCTCTCAGTGCAGCGGCAAGTTCGCAATCACCAGCCTCGAGTCATCGAAGCTGTATGAGAAGTCCCCGCTCGCTCGGTGGTTGACATTCCCCGAGGTGGACCATTGCTTCTGTGTTCAGGAGGGTCTTCTGAAGGTCAAGCTCAAGGAGTCTGGTTCCTGGACTGAGGTCCGCGAGGGCCAGACCCTGTTAGTTTCTGCGGGACAGGCGTTCACATTGGAGTACGGCTCTCGCTTTGTAAGATCCACCGTTTTCACCAACGGTCCCGGTATTGAAACTTTGATTCAAAACGCCGGCGAGGCTTTCTCAAGTTTCGTTCTGCCGGAAGAGAGCGTCGCATGGCAGGAGGAGAAGATCAAGGAAGCGAGTGCGGCATTGGGTGTTGTGGTTGAATCATTGTAATTACTTAGATGAGTTGCCTTCCAAGGCCAGTAGTTGGAAGGCTTGAGAAAATGACTTAAATACACGCGTAAACTACGTGGACAATGGCAAGTGTAACTAGCCTTGAAAATATTACGGATTTGCGATAGGGATGAGCCTCATTTGTTGCCCAGATATAATGACCTTCAAGGATCCACGAAAGTTTAGCGATATTGTACAGTTAGTGCACCAATATCACCTTGTTCTTGAGAGACTTCCGTTAGCGTCTTGGAGTCGTTCCACGGCTCGGTATCTTCTTGCCTAGTTAGGCTGTTGAAGAAGGTTGAATCCTTCTCAATTTCACTATGAAAACTACGTCACACAGTCAAATGCTACATGTAGGTAGTCTACCAAATCCTTGGAGCTTTTGAGACGCGCTATCCTAACCTGCACGAGACCCACACAATATGACTTTGGAAAGATCGGTAAATAAAGCCGATTAGTCAAGAAAATAATTAAGTACGCTATTGCCTACGTACCTGTTACGCCCGCCGCAACTTGTCACTGTGGGCGCGTAGCTATATAATGCAGAACAAGGGACAATGATGCCGGAGTCATCATTATCGAAGCTTTTGCTTTGTGCCACAGTTGGTTGCCTTGTCCAGCTCGTAACACTAACCTCTTAGTTTTAGTATAGAGGAATCTCAGGTTTTGCTTGAAAGGAAATAAAAAGGGAAACATCCAGCCCCTTAAGAAGATGAGGAGGGGGGTCTATTAAAGAGAGCCTAGCCAGCTCGGAGACGCTATAGTGTGTGTAGCGAGACCGGTTATAATGCGCGAACCTGTTCTAAGGATACGGAATTGTTAAATGATTCGAGTAACTTAGTAATAAGGAATAGTTAATTTAATGTATTATAGTTGTGCAATAGTAAATACTATTATATGCATGGGAAAAAGCTCGTCGCTGACTGATATTCGTCGCCGACTGATGGACCACGTTATTTATCATTTTTAATATATTAAATAAGGAAAGAAAAAATGAAAGCTAAGAAGAAATCGCTTATAAGGGCCAGAATATTCCTACTTATAAGGGCCTTATAGAATACCCGTTACTTAAATAACATAACGTGGTAACTACGACCTACTTATTTGTTACGAGCTGGACAAGGCAACCAACTGTGGCACAAAGCAAAAGCTTCGACAATGATGACTCCGGTCATCATTGTCCCTTGTTCTGCATATATAACTACGCGCCCACAGTGACAAGTTGCGGCGGGCGTAACACCACATCTCCCCTCCAAGAGGCATGTCCCTATGCCGAGGACCAATCGGACATTTCGGGTATAAGCAGGGAAACTCCAGCAGAGGTGCGGGGTAACCAGTCCTACACGTGCTGCCTACGGTCGGGACGCCCTTCATAGTGTGGGAGGCACAATCACACTATCGACGCAGCGTGCGGGAATCGAACCCACAACCCCTCTACGCAGGGTGGAGTCATCATTGTGTTACGAGCTGGACAAGGCAACCAACTGTGGCACAAAGCAAAAGCTTCGATAATGATGACTCCGGTCATCATTGTCCCTTGTTCTGCATATATAACTACGCGCCCACAGTGACAAGTTGCGGCGGGCGTAACATTATTATCAAATAATCTTTTATTTTTTATTTATATTTACTATATTCAATATAGAACGTTTGAAAATTTAATAATATTATATCATAATCATGCCTTTATTTTATTTAAGTATAACTTAATTAAAAGGATATACTATAGTACTATATGTAGTACTACCGGTTATTATTATATAATACCGCTTTCTGTAAACCGATTACCCATCTTGTACGGTATATAAATATAACCCTCATACGGATCTTCTACTTAGAGGAATCAAGCCACTTTCTACTATACATGTCTTCCACTTGCTACCTCGCTTTGTGATATCTTGTCTTTGAAAGTATTAGAGTGGAAGCAGGTTTAAACGATATGTTTCTGTTCTCAAATATTTCACTGGGTTCCTGAGTGTTCACCTTACTTACCTTATGTAATGTGAGATGAACAAGCTTCATTGTGCAAACGCAGCAGTTTTCAGGCACCTGTGCCTTCCCGTCTCATTGACTCTATGTTTTCAGGAAGGAGCTGCCGAATCAGAAAAATTAGGAAAGAGCTAAAAAATAATGATTGCCTTCCTTGCTCAACTCGTACCTTCTCTCTTGTCTTCCTCTCACTGAAACATTGCCAACCTCAACTTCTTCTGGCCCTCACCATAAGGTTCTCAGTCCTCATCTCCAGAGGACTGGAACACAGTAAGCATATACCTCACCACATATCTCATGAGATCCTCTGACCCTGAACTTTCCCGTGGCAGTCAGTCGATGAGAGTCTAGTCGCTGGCTTGAACTACCCTCTCGCAGCCTGAATTGCCTACAAACGGCAACCTCGTCCGGCGACTTGATCGATTTCTCCTTCACGAAGACAAATTTCGCACCAAAATATCCAATCCCTCATCAGCGGCTGCATCAATATGACGAGTCAACCGATCCGCGATAGGAAGAAGGGACCAGTAACGCTCTCCTTGGACATCATCCTACTCATCGCCGACGCCGAGAAAGCCGACAAAGGCATTGTCTGGTGACTTGGATACGTGTACGTGATACTTAATCTCTCAGACAACGGGGCATTGGTATGAACGAGCGGACGGCATATTTGGTTATAAAGGGACAACACCCTCTTTTCCCACACCTCCGGCGTTTCAGCGTTTATAGTTGGCCGGCAAGCCCGAATTCAGTCATGAGCCGCTGCAAATGGATGTTGCGTCTGATTTCAGAATCGGGATGGAGAGAACATGTACACAGCGCCTTGTGTAAGGTGGTGAGGAACAAGTTTCGGGATCCAGGTCTGGCAGACGTGGGGCTTCTCCGCACGGGTGAGACATTCGTCACAGCCGTCACCAGAAACCATGCAGAAGGACTTTAGAAAACACCGAACGCCGGCCACTTCCAATCCCTGCTTGACTTATTAATACTCACTGTAGTCCTTTCCTTTGACGGCCTCGGAGGGATACCAACTCCGCCAGGAAGCTCTCCGGTTACGATTGGCCATGGCCGTTGGCGCCTTGGGACAGAATACACCGGACGAATTTCTGCTGAGCTGGCGATGCTATTTAAAAACCTAAGAAGGATGGACTTCCCCTCATTCATATCAACCGATCATCTCCCTCTCAGCGGCAGTCCCAAGCTTCACTAAGGTAACCGGAGAAGAAACATGGCAAGCGGTAAGGTCTACCAGCGCCCTCCGTCGCGCGAATATCAAGGGGCAAATGTAAAGTCACCGAGCTTACGAATCCGCAACAGATACTATGACGCAGTCAGGTGAAGAATACCCGCTTAAGGCGGATATACGTACAATGATGGCTGAGAAACCTCTGCCAATCATTACTGAGGGAACGATAGACCATGGCTCTATGGACGGAGATACACCAACGAAGATCGCTTCAGGTCTCATTGAAAGATTCACATCAGCACTGAAGGCCAGCGATGTGACTGCTTTAGAAGACTGCTTCTTTGCGGAGCAGGCGTACTGGAAAGACCAGCTGGCACTCACGTATCACCTCCGGACGATCCAACAAGCAGGCATCATTGCAAGCAGTCTCATAGAGACAAATAATCTTCGGGGGTCAGAAGAGATCCGGCTTGACGGAGACGCGAGCTTTTCGCCCATCACTCCTACCCTTGTGAGTCTCAAACCGCTTCAATACTGAGAACTGAGGTATTGTGTCTGGCCCTAGGCTGACTAGCACCTTAATTACATGAAGCAATTCATCGATTGTAATTTCACGTTCAAGACAATGAATCCAGCCGCTCGCTGCCATGGCAAGATCATCTTGTTGCCCCAAAAGCCTCGAGGCGAATACGGGGGCTCGGCGACCTGGAAAATATGGGTTTTGAGCACCAGACTTGAAGATTTTGTCTTCCACCCCGAGGATTTGAGCTTATTACGGGGCCCCGCAAAGCAGCTGGGCATTCTCGAACAGTTCGAAACTGAGGTGATCATCATCGGTGGTGGCAATAGGTGAGCCCGATCTGGATATTTGATGTCAATGGATTACCATTAGCTGACGAGCACACTGAATGGTGTAGCGCAGTGACAGTCGCCGCTCGGCTGAAGGCCTTGGGTGTCGAGAGCGTCATGCTCGATCGCAACCCTAGCCCTGGAGATAATTGGGCTCTTCGCTATAGTGCCATGAAGTTCCACATTCCGACGGCGATATGCACCATGGCGTACTTGGGTAAGCATCACATACGAACCGCAGAATGCTCCTCACAGGTCAAAAGTCGATTATACTGACATTGTGCTATCTGGATAGAATATCCAAAAGAACAGCATTTCCCACACTTCCTCACAAGAGATGAACTTGCAAACCAGGTCAAGCGATATGTGGAAACCTTCAATCTGAATGTTGTCAACTCGGCAAAGGTTATGTCGACCACCTTCAATCAAGCGTCAAAGTTGTACACAGTGACATTCTGGTCACCAACTGGCAGGCGTGTTGCCGTGGCCAGGCACTTGGTTCAAGCAACCGGGCTCGGGTCGCAGAAACCTCACATGCCGCCCATGGCTGATGCTAATCTGTACAAGGGGGTCAGTGTTCATTCTACTGCCTATCGTAACGCCAAAGACTTGAAAATGCTTGGTGTAAAGGTCAGTCAACAATTCCAGATTTGATGAGGGTGGGCCATATCATTAACCAAGATCTCTGGACCCAGTCAGCTTTAGTGATAGGCTCAGCAAACACCGCCTTCGACATTCTTGAAGATTGCTACGCTGCCGGGATGAAGACCACGATGGTAGTTCGGTCCCCGACCTACATCTTTCCGGTCGCGTATGTATGTGATCCTGCAGCGCATGGAAACTACGAGGAGCTTGGAGTGGAGGCAGATAAGGATTCCATGGCCATTCCCACCAATATCGAAGCTCAGATGGTGCGAGGACACTTCTCCCACTTGGCCTTTCAAGAGCCCGATCGCTACGCAGCCCTCTCAAAAGCTGGGTTCCCCGTCTTGGACAGCCGTTCACCTGAATGCTGCTTAATGGTTAACCTGTTTGAAAAGGGCGGAGGTCACTACTTGGATGTGGGCGGCACGGCCCTGATATCTGAGGGCAAAGCAGGTGTCAAAGCCAATGTCGAGCCAGTAGCTTTCACTGCTACTGGACTCAAATTCTGTGACGGCAGTACGCTTGACGCGGATGCTGTGGTTTGGTGCACGGGGTTCGCCGATCGGGATGCACGTAAGACAGCGGCAGAGATGTTGGGGGCCTCAACAACGAATGAGATCAACAAGATGTCTGGAGAAGACCAACATGGAAACAATGGGATCCTTGGCCCGCGAGACATTGCAGCTCGCCTCGATGCGACTTGGGGCGTCGATGCCGAGGGAGAGGTTCGAGGGGTGTGGAAGAGGCAATCCCGGCTTGACAACTATTGGGTCATGGGTGGTGACACGAGACTTCAGCGGTGGCATTCTCGAACTTTGGCGTTGCAAATCAAAGCTGACCTCGCAGGTATTCTTCCGCCGGCGTATCTGGACACGCCTACTCCCAAGCACCGTTCCAACACCTCAAGTCGTCTCTAGTGGGCTTTGTTATGTTTGCTTTAGTCCACAATCCAGAAGTAGCCTGCTTAAGTATGGAAACCCACAGCAGAATGGAGAATGATATTTTCAATTGCCTTTGCGAACACTCTCCCATGATCTTTCAGCGAGAAGACCTTACACGTGACCGTTTTGTTCTTTTGCGATAAAAGTGGCTCATGGTAGCCTAGAAAAATTAAGGTTGACTGAAGATATTGCACATGATCTGTCATCACGAACTATGTGGATTCCATACTTTCCGAATTGCCTTCTTTGAGAACGGCGACCAATCAAAAGTCATCAGCAACCCATGTAAAGACAAAGGATCTGCGGGGCCGGAATGCAACCCATCTCGTCAGCATGTGCCTCATCATCCCATCACATGAGCACATAAATAGGCATCTCGAATCGTCCGTGAATTGGCACACACCAATTCTGATATGTCCAGACACTTGGCCATCACCGGTTGGGATTGAAGATTTGGATCTCGACGTGATCTCAAAGCTTGTCCATGTCATCAACAAACGGAAGGATCATAGCGCAACAGTGCGAAAGCCTTGAAGAACTTCAAAATCTGTTTATCGTAAGAGCTTTTTGATACTTTTACCAAGTGCAGAACATTTGGAATGGTCAAAAATCATATGACGCTTATCCCAATTCCTTCCTGATGGCTGACATGGAATAGACCGCACTACGAACCAAAGTCCCTTCCGATGCCGATGGCCTTGAGCGAAAGTATCGCCACACCATGGCTGACTTTATGTGGCGCCAGGTGCCTATTGAAGAGACCCAGCTCGGCCTGAGACAGCTTATTCAGATTGCCAACGAAGAGAGGATCCAGGACATCTTCGCCAAATTCCTTACTGCGCCCACGGAGTTACCGGATGAAAAGGCAGGAGCTACAAAGACCCTCTGTCAAATTTTTGGCATTGAAGGCCTAATTGCAACGAATCAGAGGAAGCCATATGAGGTCTGATGCGCCTCAAACGCCATCATGCGGGAGGCAGAAGTACGTCGAATACATTTCCTCTCCAATGCTACCAATCCGTCAGACTAGAGCTATTGAAGATGGCAGGTGGCTGACGATTGCAACCTTTAGATTTTTTTCAAGGGTGACGATGAGCGAACATGGTTCTTAGCCCACAGGATTCCGAGGGGAAGAGAAGTCAGCGAAGCGGCCACAGTCATGCGCGAGGAGGTGAAGAATCTCGTAGGTTCGGAACCGAAATTGAGTCAATTGGTCAGCAATTACTACAAGCTCTGCGACATGTCGGAGGAGGCGGTGGAAGCAGCAAGATCTCGGAGGGAAGCTCACTCCTGGACTTAAAAGTTTCCGTAGAAGTAATGTGAGAGAAAATAAGAAGGATCTAGGAAAGGAAAATTTCCCATTTATTATCCCATTGACTGCTGCTTAACGTCAGCGGAGCCGGACCCATATTAATACCCGGTTTTACCCCGCACTTCAATCGGTACAAGACGAAACATCATTTACCCCTATGTTTTTTTAACATCTATCACCACCAAAACCATCATTTCAACTAATATTGCGATATCTTCTAGTGATTCTGATGCTTCCGATGCCTCTGTAGCTACCGATACCTCTATACGGAGCTATATATTTGTTAAGTTCCTTCCCGAAGACCTTGAAGTTGGCTGTACTGCCGACTATACGCCGGAGAAGTATGATAATAGCACAGTCCGGCCCCATGAGCCTCCGGCTAAGCCTGGCTTGCCCGGTGTTACGAGCAGGTCAAGGCAACCAACTGTGGCACAAAGCAAAAGCTTCGATAATGATGACTCCGCATCATTTTCCCTTGTTCTGCATTATATAGCTACGCCATGACGGGACCAATCGTTTAGGCCGTAACACCCGGCTCCTTTATACCCTTTAATATACCGGCCCGGGACCAGCAAATACAGGACTTACCAGAAACGCCGATTAATCTTTTCCTCCAATATGTTCCCCGGAGCCTTGTTAAGCAGTGGGTCCGGTGGATAATTGCAGCGCCGATTTCTAAGGAGGGCCCTTAGCCTAGACACTTAAGAGTGTATAAATAGAAAAAGACCTCTATAGAAGAGGTATACCTCTTCTTAGGAATCCGTATTTATATAAGAATTTATAAGGAATATAAATTATCAAGATACTAGGTAACTTAGTAAGAGAAAGAGGACCTTATTTATTTATTTACCCGGTTTATATCCCGTGACCGTTATTAAATACTATCCCGGTAGCTCTGGATATTCGATACCTCTGAGTTCCCTAGTTAGTCTAGTTATGGCCGGTACCAACGCCGGCCCTAGGATAAATTAATGCCGGATATGTATTGGAAGGTTAACGGGTGGTCGGCCTATATCTAGGATACCGGGGATTCCTTTTATACGGCCGGCTCTGACCTTACCGTTAATAAGGCTATAGTTCGTTTTATAAGCCGGTCCCTTAAGATAATAATAATCCGACTAAGCCGATCCCGACCGGCTTTAAGATATAGATTCTTGCCTAATCAGGCTACTATCTCCGGTAGCTCTGGTATATCTATAGAAAGGGCCTGTACGGGCTAGTCCCATAGGCCTAGCTAGCGCCGGATAACGAGGCGGCAAAGTAGGCCCTTTTAATACTAACGTAACGGGTTATAACGACCTTAGTTACCTTACTTCCGGTAATAATCTACTACGTTTTTCTAGATAACCTCTTTTTTTCTTTCCGGCTCTTCCGGCCTCTTGTTACGACCCAACATGCATGACCAAGAACAGGGCCTGCCCCGCAGGCTCGCGGCGGTTACAACACACCACATATGCAGGAGACAAGGGACACTAGGCACCCTCTCACGGAACGGAAGAACTATGGTACAAGTTACGTGATGATAAGATAAGCCATGAGCGACCATGGTGGGGCCCTGAGCGCTCATGCCAAGTAATGAGCGCTCACCCGATCAGAGGAACTGATCATTGACAAGGGATATGTTCAGGACCAGGACTTGTATATAGGATGGACTTGAGCCGGACTCTAGGACAGACTTTCCATAGCTTCTTCAGCAATTAACTTCGTATCAGATCTTATGATCGCTTTCAGCTATCTTCCCTGAGAACCCCTTTGATAAGACTACGATTGATCACCGCAGCCTTCCCTTACCTTACGACTTACAGACATAGCTTCCCTGAAGCCATCCCCGACTACGATTACTGTTACCAGTTCCGCAGCCTCAACTTCTGCAAACATACCTCACTACGACTAGCTGGCCGTAACACCTCTCCGGAAGTAGTAAGTCGGAGCTTCTGGCATTTACCGGAAAGATAGCGGGATGGATAAGATCCTTATTACCGAGAAAGTAACTAAAGGATAAGATATCTCTTAGGTGTTACGAGCTGGACAAGGCAACCAACTGTGGCACAAAGCAAAAGCTTCGATAATGATGACTCCGGTCATCATTGTCCCTTGTTCTGCATATATAACTACGCGCCCACAGTGACAAGTTGCGGCGGGCGTAACACCACATCTCCCCTCCAAGAGGCATGTCCCTATGCCGAGGACCAATCGGACATTTCGGGTATAAGCAGGGAAACTCCAGCAGAGGTGCGGGGTAACCAGTCCTACACGTGCTGCCTACGGTCGGGACGCCCTTCATAGTGTGGGAGGCACAATCACACTATCGACGCAGCGTGCGGGAATCGAACCCACAACCCCTCTACGCAGGGTGGAGTCATCATTGTGTTACGAGCTGGACAAGGCAACCAACTGTGGCACAAAGCAAAAGCTTCGATAATGATGACTCCGGTCATCATTGTCCCTTGTTCTGCATATATAACTACGCGCCCACAGTGACAAGTTGCGGCGGGCGTAACACTCCGGTCATCATTGTCCCTTGTTCTGCATATATAGCTACGCGCCCACAGTGACAAGTTGCGGCGGGCGTAACATTAGGGTAAAATATATCATATTCTTATTTTAAATAGGAAGGTATAATATTATAAATTACTTTCTATGGATTTTTATATTAATTAGTTCTTCTAGGTTAATTAGTTTATTTGGAAAGATAATGTTATTAACTATACTCTTTTTAATAACTATATCTTTTAATAAAGTAAACTTATTTTTAAGGGCCTATATTACTTAGTATAGTTTAAGTGTTTTATTTTCAATTTTGTTAATAAGCTTAGTTCGGATAGTTAGCTTAAAAGATATTTAATATAAAGTAGTTAACGTTAGTCTTAACCTATATTAATAATAGGTTTAGATTATTATTATTTTATTTAGGGAATTGATATACCGGCGTCGTAAATTGATACACCGGCGTCGACCTTACACCGGCGTCGCTGTTCGACCTTTTGATTGGCTCAAAAAAATATTGTTAGTGCAATCAAATTCTGCCAGATACCCACAAAGTATCTCAACCCTTTTTGTTCCTTTGCTCCCTTTCCTCTAAGATTACATCATCAAGCCTCTAAGTCTGACTTATGCTATTTGCTTACAATGGCTTCTCTAATTGGAGTTAGAGATGTTCCACAAGGCCAATCTCAAAGCAATCCCCCTACTAATAAACCTCCCCCTATACGAGAGCGACCATTATTTAAGTACGGCCTCCCACCATCATCTAGCCAACCACCATCATCTAGTCAACCACCATCATCTCCCTCCTTAGAAAGCAGCCGCCCTAACGTTAGCCAATTCTATAGAGTTAGTGATCCTCAAGGGCAGCGCGACCTTATCACCAAGCTCCCAGCCAACATACTACAAGACACGCGACCTCTTATATACGATTACCCTAATATAGAGCCTACGCTATATCTTACTCATCATTTCCCTAAAGGAACAATAAAAACCCAGCGGACTACTCTCCCACGACTTTCTCCAGAGCATAGCCCCTCTCCTCCTAACGAACAGTCCCAGCAACCTTCCCATCCTACAACAGAGCAGTTCAATATTGCTCTTTAGCTTGTTCTACAGGTTATTAGGACTAATCAACAGCTAACAACGGCACTCCTCCGACAACAAGAGTATGTCCATCAATAGCAAGAAACATAGGGTCCCTAAGTCAACCCACCACCCTATTCACCCCCACGGCAATCTTCCCCTCAAAGCGAAGCATCTTTCCAAACTACAGCCTCCTACCACACTCTAAGCAACCGATCCTCCTCTCCTCCTATAACCAAAATCCCAAACCCACCGATTCCTGGCGATCCAGAGCAAACCTATAATGCCCTCTTCGACCGAGTTAATACCTTTACAAAAGCTAATGGATTTGGCATTATAAAGCGGAATAGGTATAAAGCTCGAGGCCGAATCATTCGATACACCTTCCAGTATGATCGGTTTAGCGAGCCTAGGCCTACATAAGGTGCTGGTATTCGATAGCGCAAGTCTCGTAAATACGGTTATAAATGGCAAGTTATTGCCGAGGCTCAAGAGGAGGGCAAGTGGCTCTTACGTTATCACCTAGACCCCTAGTATAGTCAGCATAATCATGGCCCTAGCCCTGAAGCTACTACATACCCTTTACATCGCAGGCTTACCTAGCTACTTCAGGATGCTATTAAAACTACAAGCCGACGAGTTAGGATTCGGGCTCGCGATGTGCGTGCTGTTGTCCAGGAGTAGTTCCCAGAGTCCTCATTCACCCAGCGAGATATTTATAACGCTAGGGCTCGTATAAATCGAGAGAAACTAGCGGGATATTTGCCAATTGCAGCATTAATCAAGCTGTTTGATGAGCAAGACATCCTATACGTGGTGAAATGGGCAGACGCCGAGCCAAACCGCCTTATTGGCCTTGTCTGGACCTTTCCCTACTGTCTCCAAATGTGGAAGCGATTCCCTGAGGTGATTAGCTTTGACAACACCTACAACACCAATCGCTTTAAGCTCCCTCTCTTCCAAGCTACTGGGAAGACCTGCCTTGGATCTGTTTATAACGCTGCGTTTGGCCTTATCGACAACGAGAGACTAGAGGGTTTCCAGTTTCTCTCAGCAGGGATCCGCCAACTCATGGACCAACACTCAGTCCGTTACCCCACTGTTATTATTACAGACTACGACAAGCAAATGAAGGCTGCACTGAATGAGCAGTTCCCAGACGTTCAGCAACAACTCTGCATCCACCACATCAATTCTAACGTTATGCTCAGGGCTAAGCAGAAGTGGGTTAAGGACCGCAGCTGTAGCAGTAACAGCAGTGGGTCTGATGACGAGGGATATCAGCTACCAATACAAGCAATGGCCACGCTAAGTGATGAGGATGAGGCCTATATCAACACATCTGTTGATGAGCCCCCCCCTCATACGTATCGTGGGGTCCTTATGATGTGGAAGCTTGTTGTTTTTGCTGAGACTGAGCACGCTTTTGAGAAAGCCTGGACCAAGCTCTGTAAAGAGTTTAACGACCAACGCCCAATCCTCCAGTACCTCCACATAACATACCTACCTTTAAGAGCACAGTGGGCCCGCTGCTCTATCCGAAAATACCAGAACTTTAGTGTTCGCGTCACCTCTGGCACTAAGTCAAGTAATAACAACATTAAGATTTATCTCTTAAATGGTCTTAGTCACCTATATCGACTTGTTGATGTTATGCAGGACATGATTGGTGACCAGGAGATACGCTTCAGGCAAGCTTATGCTAAGGATGAAGTACTTACAAGCCGGGAGTATATAGGTACTTGCTTTGAGTACCTAGGCGAACTTCGAACGATGCTTTCCTCGAAGTGTCTTATATTAATTGGGAAGCAATACCGGCTGGCAAAGAAGGCAATGCCGTCTGGCACGAGGCCATTCCCAGCCCCCCTTGGAGACTGTGGTCCAGACTGCACTGTTTCAATTGAGCTAAGTATCCCTTGCTGCCATAAGATCTACTCCCAAAAGCTAAATTCAGCTACTTTTAGTAAATGGGAGGTACACCCTCGGTGGCGTCTTCGAGAGACGTCTTCCTTAGATCTATGCCGCCGGATCCTTGACCCTAAGATTGCTGTATCCCTCCGCGGCAGGCCAAAGAACACAGTGTAGCCTGTCCCATCATAACTAGCCTTACCTGTAGAGGGCTAGTCAGCCAGACAAGCCCGCACTACCTACAGCAGCCAAGGCGCAAGTAGTAAGAAGCGAGGCCGCCCACCTGGGAGCAAGAATAAGTCGACGCTAGCTGGGCTTACATAAGAGACAAGTTAGCCAAGTCAAAGCCAGATATCAAGCTCATCCCAGCGACAAACAAGGAGCCAGTCTAGTGTTCTTGGTAAGGGGAGGACAACAGGGAATCATGCAAGTAGACGGCCGATGCAGCCTAGTGTTAGGAGGAAACGGAGTCAGTGGGAAATGGTCTGTAGTGACGATAAATCTTTGTAACCACGTCGCAAAAGGTAGTTAGGTAATAGGCCTTTCGAGGGGTTATATAGTCCCTATTTGAGATTTACAAACCTGGGGTATAAGTAGGCTGTAATACGTACTTTTAGAAATCTCAAATCCGAGCTTAGGTTAGAGAAGAGGGCAGGAATAGCCATGTTAGTGCAGTCACCCTCACCGCCTTTATGGGGAGGTATTGTTTTTTTGAGCCAATCAAAAGGTCGAACAGCGACGCCGGTGTAAGGTCGACGCCGGTGTATCAATTTGCGACGCCGGTATATCAATTCCCTTTATTTAAGATCTTTATTTTCCACTACTTAGTTTTAAATGAGGAGGATATAGTTATATATATAACGGTTTCTTTTTATATAAAAAGGGTAATTTAGAGAGAGAATAAGTACTTATAGCCCGCTTTATAATAATAGGGGTTTTTATTATTTATAATTCAGTTAATTAAAGCTAAGTTAGGCTTATAATTATTATAAAGTAAGGTAGTAAGTAGAAGATATATAGAATAGAAAGTAGCTTTCCTCTAAGTGGAAGATTCGTATAAGGGTCATATCTATATACCGTACAAGATTGGTAATCGGCTTGTGGAAAGCGGTATTGTACGACAGTAACCGGTAGCGCCACGTGTGGCGCTGTGACACAAGAAGTCATTGTGAATGAACCTCAAAGAGGTGGGACAATTGCCATAGCGACTACAAGTACTTGATATGGGTCGATTAATATTCTACTTACCTACTATGCGCGAGAAGAAACAGTTAATTCAGATTAAAAGAAGCTCATATCCCCCCAATGCCGAATAATAGATGATTTGAAACTACTTATCGTCATGGATTTGAGAAGACAGGGAGCTACATCCTAATGGAAACAAACACAAGAGATTACAGGGCTAAATCTAGACACCTGGAAGTAAATTCTTTCGATATCAGCTTGCAAATCTTTTTGATTTCTTGTTGAGTTGTCTGAATCCGTTTCGTATATAGACCCAAAAGTTGCTTCAGACATTATCATATGAAGTTGATCATTCGCCAGAGACCAACGAAGAAATCGGCAGCGGCAGCGTCGCCAAAACACGAAGGTATCCGAGGATCGCGTTGAAGATGGAAACATTGACATATTTGTTTGGAAGGAGATATTTGAGTCCGGCTGAGTCTCAGCGGCCAATAAACACTGTGAGATGTATACAAGTACTGTCGGATGCGGACTAAAGCCAGCCGGAGGTGGTGGGCGGGGCGACGGAAGTGATGAGGAACCTGGGAGGGCCGCAACATTTGATCGCCGCGACTACTTATTCCCCGATCCAGATCGCGTTGCAAAGTCCAAGCACAAGAGATAATTCAATTTCGATATAAATTTTGGTAAAAACTGAGTACCTAAGTGTGGGACTGTGGATACCTGAGGCAGTGGCTGGTGCCCCAGGCACCAGCTGCCCGATCCACTTCCTGGTTGATCCAGCCCACCGGAGCCACCTTTCACCTTCACCACATCATCACCAACCAACCGTCAATACCAGTCGTATTACCTCATTGCTTGCCTCGTTGGTCCAGATGAGCAGTTTGTACTGCCCACACTAAGTCCTGCACCTGGTAGAAACAAATCCTCTAGTAATGGTTGTTCAGACGTCAAGTCGTGAGAATACGGCAATTCAATATGAGGTAGGCACACGGCGATGTGGATACAAATGCCATTCGTTTGATTGGTCAGCCAGATTTATCCCTTCTCTCCCTCCTAACTCTCAGATTTCGCCCTATCGTTGCATCACTTCAATCAGCGGATCAGACACCCTAGGATAACCAAAGACTCTTCACCAACAGAGAGCAGTCTTAGTTACCTTTATTATGAGAGACTGAGTGTTGCTATCTTCCTCTTGGACCAGGTGCTCAGGCCCCAGGTAAAGTGAAATCTGTATCCGTAGATGTACTCCGTAGTATCACATCACATTAGGCAGCAAGTGTGACATCCTGGCAGTGCTTATTTCTAAATCACCCTTGCAAGACAATAATTCCCACGCTAACAGAGCTTCGCCTAGGCACATCGACGTAACTGGCATTCCAAACACGTCTCTCATTCGCTCCGGCGCAGCTCCGACTGTCTCAAAAACCTATGAACTTTTCAACCAGGCGGTCCAGCTCTGCGAACCCTTGCGCCGACTGCGCCCGGAATCCTCCCGCCATCGTGGGACAAACGCAGCGATTCGTCGCGGTACTTTCGCCGCGAAGCCACGGGGAAATCAGTCTATAAGCTGACTGCGTCCAAGAATAAATCGCTGGCCAATTTTCTGTTTCTTTAATTCTCTAGAGTCCCATTTGCCTCATCAACTTGCTGCGCACGTTCAACCCAACAACTGACGTCTTTGCGCCCAAAAAGAATTAGCAATCCACCAAGATAAACGTATTTCGATCTCCACAAAATGCCAGCGATCCAGCTTTCAGAAACAGCCAACAGCGCCATCCGCCACCTCCTTTCGGCACGCGATAACGACGACTACAACAGCGTTAGGAACAAGGCCAGAGCAATCGGGGGAGGCGTCATCGCAGCCATTGTTGTCATCATTGTCCTCACCCTTGCCGCCTTCATTTTCGCCATCGTCAGATGCAGCCGGAACAACAGGAGACGGGCGCAAAACGAGTTGGAGATGAAGAAGTACGTGGGCGGGATCCCAGTCACCGATGCGGCGGTCGCGGGCAACACGAACGGCCCGGCACCCAGCGGTGGGAACATGAACGGATACGGTTTTAGCGGAGGATACGTTGCGAACGACGGAATCATGGGCAACAGCAAGGTTGGGTACAATGCGTCGGATGCGATGCCCCCGGCGTACACTGCAAACAATGGTCCGGCGACAGCAAACTAGACCTTGAGCGAACATCAACGAAGACAAAGGATGACGGGAATTGCGAGAGAAGACCACGACTTATAGAGATGGCGTTTAAGGAAAAGACCAATCGTTGAAAGCATTTCATTTGTAATTTGGAGGGAGTTTTGGTGATGGGAATCCAATGGCCACGTGCAAGCATCGCATTCATACTCAAAGCCAACTGGGATAAAACAGAGAAACATCATTTCAATCGGCGCAGTTATCATATTAGTGGAGATTTTCATATCACAAGTTGACCATTGATCTCGAAAATTTCACACCTCGCATCCATCATTTGTGCAAAACCAAGAGCAAGAGTTTTAATGTACTCCAGCATAAATACACATATGAGAACAAATTTGATAAATATGCACATAGAAATGAAGTAAAAAATCAACACAATGCAAAGGACCTCTTCAATCACGATGCTTGAACAAGGTCGATAAGCACAGGTCGCATGTCAAAGACTCAGTCGAAGTCTTAGTGTCCAAGCTTGAAGCCACCCCAGTTGAGCTTGCTGAACACCATGTTGGGGTCGTACTGAGCCCTGATGTCCTTCATCTTCTGCATATTTCCCTCTCCGTAAGCAGGGAAGGGCTTCTGCCACTCGCCAGCGTCACCCATGTAAACGAACTCGGTCGCGAGTCCCAACTCCTGGTTGATCTCGTGGTGGTGGGCGAGGAAGTTCTGAGACCAAGCGGTCATGCGGAGGTCATCTTCTGGGCGAGCCCAAGAGGTGGTGATTTGCCACCCTGAAAAACTCAGTCAGTCGCTGTCGGAGAGAGATATATGGAGAGAGGAGGCATATTGGTAAATTACAGATGTAGGATTGGTCAGCATCCAGACCGAAAGTGTTGCCGATGCCATTCTTCTTTCCAACAGCAAGCGCGGTTCTTGGGACTGTGTTCAAGATGAATGTAGGGCGGATGCCTTCGATGTCGGCGATGTCGGCAACGGCTTCAACCCAGGTCTGGTGAATCTCGTACAAGCGGTCGGCATCGGGGATGATAGTCTGGTGGCCGAATTGGATACTGAACAAAAGTCGTAAGCTTATGTACCTGAAAGAAGGTCTCATAGCGAGAACTTTTCCTACCGGAACATCTGGTTAGGGGACAACATCTGAGAATGCCAGTCAATAGGCCGCGTAACGTTGTGGCTGCGGGAAACGGCGGGAATGGCAGTGAAGTTGGCAAAGTGAGACGGAGGCGAGACAGTGGTCTCCTGCAAACCGAAGACTTGCGGGACAATCTCCTTGGTCGTCACATTGTAGTTGATGTTGATGACGGCACCCGCACCCTCGGAATTGTCGTCGCTCAGGGCAAAATCAGTAGCAGCCTTGATGAAGGCCTGCGCGGCAGACTCGTTGAAGATCTGGAAAGTGCTAGTCGCCAAGGGCAGATCCAAAGTCTTGAGAGAGAACTTGGTGACGATGCCAAAGTTGCTGGCACCGCCCTTCAGGGCCCAGAAGAGGTCGGGGTTCGAGGTGTTGGTTGCGGATACTTGGGGACCCTTACCCAGAACGACTTCGTATTTGACCACGTTGTTCATGGAGAAGCCGTACTTGTTGAGGAAGTAGCTGACACCGCCGATCAAGGTCAGACCGGGAACACCGATCGTCTTAAGGCGGCCGCCGATAGCGTACTTGCGGTACGGCGCCAGAGCGGAGTAGACGTCAACCCATTTGTTACCCGGAACGACGTCGACGGTGCTCTCGTCGTTGTTGATTGTGACCGCGCTCAGACTGTTGAGGGCAAGAAGGACTCCGTCGTCGATCGTGTTGGCTCCGGGGTACTGCAGAATGTGTGCGATTAGTGGGCTGCGTCATGCTGCCGGGGGAAGAGTAGGCAGGGGGGCGGAGATGAGTTTGCGCGTACGTTCATGTGGCCACCACCCTTGACAGCGAACTGGGCCTTGCAGGTGGAGAGAATCTCGACGCCCTTGGCGACATCGTCGGCAGTCGAGGGCAGATAGATGCAGGCGGGGTGAAGGTTGGCTCTCTTGTCCCAGACGTTGACGCGCTGAGTCTCGTAGGCCGTCGAGTTGGAGAAGAGAGTGAAGTTGGGAGAGTGGTTGCTCAGTCCGGTACAAGCGCACTTGACATTCTCGGAGACTAGGTCTCGGTGGCCGAAGACGGACTTGCTGGCCGAGGCAGAACTGGCCAGCAGAAGAGCTGGAAGAGCGAGGGAGTACAACATGGTTGACGATGACTGCCGATAAAGATGCAAAAGGAGAAGCTGACTGGAATGGGCGAGGATGGGTGATGGTATTGCTGTGACGATGTGGGAAAGAATTCACTAAGTATTTATCTGTCTCTAGGGATGCTCTACTGAATAGCCTTGCCACTCTCCCTGCCCAGTGAAACCCCCTTTACAACCAAATGATACCGTTTACGCTGCTGTCTCTGCGATCTTCCTCAGTCACTCGAATATCTCCATCACCATGATCCGCTATGAAGGCCTCAATCGCAATCGGTCTCGCTCTGTGCCTTGCAACTTGCTGCGATCGACTCAGCCTTTTATGTGGAATCCATCGAATAGCTCCATTATGGACTTCGTTCCTGGAACTCCGCCAGAGACTTCAAGCGAGATCTTTTGCCGAGCTTACACTATTGTTAGTCGATACGTAACACGCGAATCCGTCATAGCCATCCTCGTCAGCGAACCACTAGATCCTTGCCACCTACTAACCTTAGCCTCTATACTTCACTAAAAGATGAACCAGCCCGAAGAGACACAGCATTGCAGTTCCACAGAGGGGTTCGACTGATGGACCTCCAGATGAGGCGTTTCCCGCGAGGTTATGCTGTAGGCTCCCGCCCTAGTGTGCCATCTTGAGTTCCTGCCCCGGGTCACGAACTCGAAAAGACTTGGATGTGCCACCTCATCATTCCGCCGTCAAAGCGATAGAACGAAATTGTCGCCTTTCATTGTCGGAAATAAACTGTGGTACTTGCTTCTTGCCCACCCTGAACTACGTATTACTTTACCCATGGCGATCTAAGATATGTTCCAGACCTTGACCTTGGCCCAAAAAGCCACCCCTGACATTTCAAGCCACACCTGCGTCAGAGGGTGGTGTTCTGCTCGCTCTCGGTTTCGGCGATGGGGCCCCCTTGGAGCGCTTGCGCATAGAGGTGGGCGGAGATCTGTGCTGGCTAATAGCTATGCGGAATGATTAGAATTAGTGTAGATCTCCATGGTCAGCGTACCCACTCTTTTGTTCTACGTGTATTCTTTTACGTGGATCCGTATCCAAGTTTTCCACGCGGAGTATATACGGAGTAAGGAGGCAGACCATCTAGTCTACTGCCGAAAGACCCTACTGAGGAGGCAACAGTGGCCCATTCTCTACCCCTACAGCCGCCAGGAGCCCGTAGGACCTATCCCATCGAGTGCTGCAAGGCGACAGTACATTGAGATGCGGGGGAGCAGCCAATCGGGCCACTTCGGGCCCCTTTTTCCAACCAACCAACGTAATTGATAATAGATACTTCCAATTATTAGAGATTCTGCGTATGAAATCGGTACCAGCAATCTTCTGAGTTACAGAGAGCTACATCGCACTCGAGGCAGTTTGGTGGATGTACCGTAGTAGAAATCATAGGGGCAACTCAAGCAGTGGATGTACCAGATGCGGTGCGGGGTAAAAGAGGGCCCCTTATGTGGAGCCAATGTACTGTCGCCTTGCAGCACTCGATGGGATAGGGTCCCTCGATCGCTACTTCAAGGGGCTAATCACTGACTCTGAAGGCTTCCAGGCCTTCCTTTGCGTGACAGACTTCTTCCAGAAGATCTGCCCGCGGTACTAGGAGATAGGTCATAACCTATCCTCCAAACGACAAACTACCTCTATTAAGAAACCAGATGGTTATAACGGAACTAGGGCACCAGTGGGAACTAGGGATGGATAGAACACATAGTAGCTCGCGAGCAAGATTTGGAGGACGTCAGGATACGGCGTGTACTATATAGTATATAGCTAGAGCCTGCGACCCTTCACGCCACATACCCCCCGGGAGGTCTGCCGCAAGGGCGGCTGCGCCCTTGCGGCCATGGCGTTAAATAGAACAACAAATATACGGAGTACTGTATGCGTATTGGTAATCTATTTCAAGTCGTTTCGTCGTGGCTTAGCTAAAAATTGAGTTCCTTAGATACTCGCCGGAAGCAAGCGCGTCATGGACTGCAAATTTCACAATCGGAGCTTGGATATATTATTCCAGGCTCTCCCCCAATGTTCTTCCTCGGCGCGTCTATTACTGCCGAACTCAGTCCGAGATTCTCGGTACGATCTCTAGAGAGAGAAAGATAGAGAGGCCATGATGCCCTCGGGTAGTGTGCGAGCGCGGACTCTAAACCGTTTTCATCGAATGGGTTCGTTCACTGAGCACGGTCCACGAGTGTACACGTCTTAAAAGCGCTGTAGTAGTAGTAGTAGTAGTGGTGTTTTACATCATCAGGGACAGGTGCCCAGCTATCTATGTAACTAAGCTCCGATCAACCAGAGCGCCCTTTGGGCATATGATGTGCCGTGCCGCCATTATAGCGTACGACAAGTCAGGCAGTCTATAATGTACACTTTTCTTCTCGTGCCTAGAGCAGTGGAGTTTAGTATCTAATCCCCAGGGTCCGTTCAGTTCCAAAAAGCACGCCAGCAGGGGGTCCCTGACTCGGCAGAAGCGAATGGGTCTCTAGCAGCCCTACGCCGTCCACAGACGGCGTTGCCGCAACAAGTAACCGGCCCTCGGAGGCATATTTGCCTACGCGAGCATTTTTCTGTTTTCTTATATTTTCTTATATAGAAGATAAAGGAGGAAGGAAGAGAGAGGGGTGTGGTAAGGCCGGGGCCTCAAGGCGTCGGTGGGTGTGTGAGAGAGTTGTGAGGCGCGGGATCTCGGGCTCGCTATCTTTGCAGAGAGTGAGCCTCATAGTAGCGCGTCACACGCTCGAACTTCTCAAAGGCACCCGGGTCTCTGACCAGGGCGTACCAATAGGCTTCGGCCAGGCCTATCGGGGGCGGTAGTGGTCCCGGATCGTCCACGGTCCCGGTAATCTCTTAAAAGCGCTGGCCGTTAGCACGAACATCTGCATCAAAGATGATTGATCTCAGATGAAAAAGAACGATGCAAAACCATAATAGGGTGACATTGAAGTTCTATGACAGCGTTTCATCGGGTTAAGGTTTGCTCCTACAGCAGTCAAACGCATCGACACTTTGTACGCAGTGCTGGTGCGTGTGGCTTGACGTTCGGACATTTTTAAACTTTCAAGACCCCGGTGATTCCGCTATAACTGTAAATTAACCACAACTACCTGAAAGATGTTTTGGACTTCACCTCCTTCAAGAGTTCAATCTGCCTGAGGTCCACCCGAGCGCTTGTTCCGACTATCTGCTTACCGCCAACGGGAGCGATGAATGCCACTGTCAACCATACTTGGTCCGAGTCAATGTCTGAGCTAAGACTACGATCAACAGTCGCCTCGGGCGGCACTCTTCTACCTCACTCGTTAACGGCAAAAGGATGGCTGGCATGTCTTGTTTTGTCACTTATGGATGGACTTCTCGACAGAGTACTCCGTTATCAGCACAAAGATCCTGCGCGACGGACGCGAGACGAGAGGCGGAGACGAAGGCTGGGAGTCTGGAAGGAGAGGCACCACAGCGGACTCGAAAAGCTTCACGAAGCATTGTGTGATTTGGACATCCCGGAGGTAGACCTTAATACGGTTGACATGCACGAGTGGTTGGATTACGCATTTCAGAAATCATCATGAGATTCCGGATACTGGTGTCGGAAATATTGATCCCGAAACACGGCGAGGAGTCCTTCTGTCACCTTACTCCAGAAACCCCGAGGGTTGACGGGTCGAGATTGGGATAAATAATGGAATGCAAGAAACCTGCAGATTATCAGATCACGGACGAGAGTATCTCTGAGTATGTAGACATGTGGAGTCTTGAAGAGTAAGGTATGTGGCATTCTTACGTCTTTCCTATAGACTGCTAACAATTACATTGTTATTATCAACAGGTCTTGATACTGAACAGGTTGTTCTGTTACCTTTGTACCCTTAGAACTGGGAAACATCAGCACTCGCGCGCCGAGAATTTGCCAAAGCTTCTCTGCAATCTCATAGATATTTCAATTTGGCGCACCGGCGTGATGCTAGGCTAGCTGAAACAGAGAGTCAAGAAGGCGATCAGGATGGCATAACAGAAAGCTCGGATCGCCGTAACTGAGCCGTACTCTATTTTTGGTTGTGAAGAGGAGGGAACGTTTTTGTAATTACAATATAATCTAGAGGATTTCGTCATTGTGGGTGATTTAGCGCAGGCACAGTAGACAAGGTGGCGAATGGAAAGGAATACGGAAGGACGAAGAAATTGGATTCATTAAGCTGCCGCACAGAAAGCATGTCATATGAAGCTCCCAACGAGCCTAGGCTGATATCCCACGTGTTGATGTATCCAGGTCGCTCATTCTTCATCTCCTCGAATCCTCAATATGATTCGAAGAGGTTTGAAGCGGCCTCTTATTATCAGCCGCATCCTGCTCCAGCTGATCCAATTCCGGATCTTTCCTGAGTGGGCTGACGATCTCATCTCCAACTTTGGCGGCCACCTCTTCAAGAGACCAGAAGCGCGTCTCGGGGAGGAAGAAAAAGTAGATGGTTCCCGCAAAAGCGTTGCAGGCGATGAATACAAAGTAAAACTTCCACTCAATGGCATCGAACGCGAGTGATGCCGCGTAAGACAACCAAATGGCCGTGACAGCCTGAGTAAAAACTGAGAACCCAACTCCGACACCGCGAAGGTCGAGAGGAAAGATTTCTGCGACAAGGACCCAGTTGACGATGTTGAAGAAGAATCAGTACGCAAAAGCGAATAGAAAAATGAATGCAACGCCAGCGCGGGACCCGGCGGGATTAGAGTCGTCTTGGAAAAGTTTCGACAAAGCCGTCAAGAACGCCAGGAGGACGGCAAGCGTGAAACTACCGGAGATGACAGTGATGCGTCGCGTCCAGTGATCGGCGACGAAGAAGACGTTGATTATTTGGCCAATGACTGTCATGAAACCATACAGACCGCCTTTAGAAGCACAGTCTGTCCCTCGTATTCAAGGGAGTTGTACATGACGGATTGGTAGTTCTGAATGATGTTGGACCCCGACAGTTTCATCATGTTGACCGTCAAGCAAGCTAGCAGAGTTCTGCGGATGTACTGTCGAGTAAAAAGATTCCAGAAGTTGGACACTTTCTTCTTGTTGGCTTCGAGTTGGATCTGGCTGACCATCTCGGCGAATTCTTGCTCGATTGTTTCTGCACCACGATGGGCGTGAAGAGAATACATGACCTTCTTGGCGTCGTCGTATCGCTCTTTCATGGCCACTATCGGATTTTGGTTAACACTCAGACCAGACTTTCGAGCGCTTGTCATCACTGGCTTGATGAAAATTGAGAACATGAACCTAGGGACTTACAACATCGCGGAGAGTAAGGCAAGAAGAATGTCATGATCGCGAGACAAAGTGAAGGCGGGATTTGCGTGGCCAGAGGGATGCGCCACTGCAGTTCACCAACTGCAAACGAGCCCGCATAGCCCACCCAGCCAGCAACGAAGAACCCTAGAGTTTTCATCATCCTTTCAGGCCAACAAGAAATCCGCGATTCTCCGGGGGGCTGAGCTCGGCAAGATATACGGGGGCCGTCGGATAGACCATGCCCGTCGAGAACCCCGAGAAGGAAGGCACGTCCTATGATCATCATGGCCGGATTCACGGCGGCGGTCTGCAGCACGGCCCCTGCAACACCGACACAAGCTCCGAAGAGTAGTGTCCAGCGGCGGGACAATTTATCCATGCAGTAGGCAGAACCGCCGCTTTCAAACGCATATCCTGCGTAGTACCCAGATACAATGCCTGCTCGTACGGAAATATTGTCCATTGAAGGACCGTACATGTATAATTTGAAGGTGGTCTGCGCGATGGTAGAGGCAATGATGCCTGTGTCGATTCCGTAAACGAACCTGGGCGTAACTTGGCATCAGTTTCTGCTCAAAGCCAGGCTCTCGTCTTTAAGTTCACTTACCCAGTAAGACTGATCGCTAGTCCGATGAGGATTGATCTAGTCGAGTTGCCACGATGGCCAGCCCTCTGCTTCACCATCATATCGACCATTACTGTCAGAGCCCTCCCGGACAGGGGCTAGTTAGAGGTAGTGAGGAGTCCAAGCAACAAAGGAGTAGCTCAGATATATATATACAGCGCAGGGAGTACACGTCGAGGGAGGAGCAGATTTCAATAATTCATCATTCTACCCCTAACTGCAGTTGGCCTCTGAGAGCTTCCACCCTGTGTCAACAACCCCAACTTGACAATTACCCCGACAACTATTGAAGAGATTGAGGGTATCGTTCACAAGAACGCTGTACCTGTAGAATACTCTTTTTGGGGTCAGTTATGCCCTTGGGAAAGTCTCTCAGTGAAAGGTAGCTTAGGTAGAGAAAGAAGGGGGCGTAGATACAAAAGAAATACAAATGTAGTTTCGGTTGAGATGACAAAGAAAGACTGCGAGTTATTAGACCTAACACACACATTCATAAGACTTCCATCCCAAAACTAGGTACAGCCCTTGTACGAGTAAGCGTCTTTCTTACTAGGCATGATGCTGTGATATCGACAGCAGAGATAAATAGGGTGTTAATTTCCCCCGCATATCGTGCCGCTTCCCCACGATGGAGTGGGAGGATCTGCTCCACCCCCGCAAACTTACATGGAGTCTTGTGTGTGTGTGTGTGTTATATTTAACGCCGTGGCGGCAAGGGCGCAGCCGCCCTTGCGGCCGACCTCCCGAAGGGTATATGGCGTGGAGAGCCGTTGCCCTATAACTATTGCTAGATACAGTTCAAATCGTCCTCCAAATCGTGCCTTATGGCTACTATGCGTTCTATCTGTCCCTGGTTCCAGCTGGTGCCCCAGTTCCATTCTTGAATTTTGCGGCTTAAGGCCGGATGGTTCTGGGGGGCCTGCCGAAACAGGTCCCTCGTACAGGTTCTGATTTGTACAAGACCATTCCTGCCCCAGTACTTTGACGACGTGTACTCGTTCTTGGTCGGAGGGTGTGGATATGAGAAAACCCTGGCGAGGGCCCGGAAAGGGTCCTAGGCCCCGCGTTGGGCTCTGCCCTACCCTTCCCACAGGTAGTTAAAGCAGTTGCCGGCGGCTGGAATCGAACCAGCGACCTCTGGGCTCCAGAGGCCTTGCCAGGTGTATGCCACTACACCACGTCGGCTACATGGAGTCTTGCTCGTATCAGCTAGTCAGCACGTCTCGGACTGTCTGCATAATTCTCCGAGATACTGATCATAGTCTCGTCTAATGGCAGGGTTCATTTATGCCGGAGACATACCATTCGGTTTAGGCCATCCGCGGAAGAGGTGGGGCTCTCTATAGGATCAGTTGATTTTCGTGCGAGATCAGGTCTGCATCTGACGAACGGATTCATGGAAGTCACGAATTGATGCTAACCTGCAACACGCTTTACATAGCCAATCCGTCCGGGATTCATGGATTGATGAATTCCGTTCGCAAGTCGAGGTACCATGACCAACATTTAATCAGCTCTATGATTCATTTCAACTAGTCCCACTGCACCTAAAGTCATCTGATACCGTGGTCCGTGAGGTTTGACGCGAACCTTCTTCAAAGCACGCAGCTACATTAGTCTTATATCATCAAACGTCATATATAGCCATTACTGTTTCTTGGTACTGTAGTCAACCATAAGGGAAGTCATGCTCATCATGGCCGAAAATAGCGTGAGCGTATTGGGGCTATTCTGGCAACTGCTTCTTAATAAGGTTTCATTCATAGAAATTCTAATTTCATGACCTCATTTACACGTCACATGCAAATATTTACAAAGTTTCTACCATTTCGGGAGGTCTGCCGCAAGGGCGGCTGCGCCCTTGCCGCCATGGCGTTAAATATAAAACAAACAACAACAATTCTACCATTTCGGAACGTTTGGAGAAAAGTCGGGCTGGAACTTTCTCATGTACGTCGTGTCATCGCGTTTCCGTAATCCACAATCCAGGTAGAGTTGATGAAGGTGCGCCAGCTTCTTCCTATCCAGCTCAACTCCAAGGCCAGGCAAAGTGGGAACGTTCAAACCGCCATCAGCCCACTTTAGTTCTCCCTCGACGACAACATCCTCATCCTTTGGCTTCCACGGCCAGTGAGTATCGCAGGCGTAGTCTAAGTTGGGGGTAGCCGACGCGAGATGAGTCATAGCCGCAAGCGATATGCCCAAATGGCTGTTCGAGTGCATCGAAAGACGCATTCCCCACGTCGCGCAGATGGCAGCCAGAGTCTGAGACTTTCGCAGACCACCCCAGAAGTGATGGTCTGAGAGCACCACCTGGACAGCGTTCTGGAGAATAGAGGTGGGCAAGTGAGAGAACGCGACAACTGCCATGTTTGTCGCCAATGGCATCGATGCCTCTTTGGCAACGGCAGCCATGCCTTCGATTCCGGGGGCTGGGTCTTCCAAGTACTCGACAATCCCGTCGAGCTCCCTTGCAACCCACTTTGAGGTCTCAACAGTCCAGGCGGCATTGGGATCCAGCCTCAGAGGGACACCCGGAAACGCTGCATGTAACGCTTTGATGGCTTCCACCTCCTGTGCTGGCGGGTAGACTCCGCCTTTGAGCTTGATTGCCTTAAAGCCGTATTCGTCAATGATTTTCTTGGCCTGTTTTACCACACCGGGAGGGTCGAGAGCCGCGCCGTACTCGTCGTCCGGCTGTCCAGGATGCCCTGCCCACTTGTAGAAGAGGTATGCCGAATACTGAACATTGTCTCTGACGCGTCCGCCGAGAAGGTCACTCACAGGGACCCCTGCGAGCTTCCCTTGAATATCGAGGCACGCAACTTCAAAGGGGGAGAAGACCTTGTCTGCGACTGAGGCCGTGGTCACCATACCCGCCATACCGTCGCCGCCGGTGCTGGTGTCGCCTGTCAAGGAGTCGACGCACAGCTGGTATATCGTGTTTGTTTCGTACACTGTGAGACCCTTGATTTTATCGGCCGCAAGCTGCAGGCGGTCTAGGTGTGTCGAGTCTCCGTATGATTCACCCAATCCGTAGCCGTTATCTGTGATGACTTCGATGATGCTGCGCAATGCAAATGGCTCATGTACACCAACGCTATTGAGCAGTGGCATGTCATGGAATGCCACCGGTGTAATGACGATATCCCGAATGACTCCGCGTTGAGACATGATTTCTGATTTCAACTTTTGAGTTATCCTCTCTTGTCTTGGTAGCTTGGTTCGGCTCAACTCATGGAATTTCACGATGTTTTAAACGTCGCCAACTGAACTAAACTACAGAAGTATGAGGTACAATCGTCTGATAGGTAGTCACGCGGGGTAGGATCCGTGCTATTGTGCCATTTGAAGGACAATAATCCGTATGCGGGGTGGAACGCCGTCTTTTCCGCGGATGTTGGAGAATGACCAGGATCGGCAGACATCCGACATCCGAGGAACCGGGCTTCCAAAGACGGAAAAGTGCATCCGAGCCGGGCCATCTGCAACAACTATTTGACGAACAATGACACAATTCACATTCTCTTGCATAGTCTACCTTATCCGAGGAAGCAATGGAAGAATCACCGATCTCACCATCATCCCGGACTCGGCCGGCCACCGACACCGACGAACCAGACAGGCCGCAGAAACGAGCCCGAGCAGATCTTGCGCCTCCACGGGTCAGTAGGGCCTGTGATAGATGTAAATTGTTAGACTTTATCGGGAAAATGTGTTTTTTCGTACACTGGCTGACGTCTCGTATGCTGGTTCTAGGCGAAAGACACGATGCTCTGGGACATGGCCGAGCGTCTTCTATGTGGAGTTTAAGTTGGATTGCCAATTCACCGCAGCCTATCCCATGGAGTGCCAGATAGCTCCATTTTTGCCAAGGGCGGGGTAGAGCCAATAGGGACTTATGAATCTATCGAGTCAACCAATAGGGTAACAGTACCTCTGTTCCCTATATATTTTAGGTATACTATAGGTACTAGTAATCTCCCTTATTACATAAAGCTATATTATAGTCTAAGTAGCCCTTTGTTACGACCCAACATGCATAACGAGGCCAGGGGGCCCGCCCCGCAGGCCTGCGGCGGCTATCTACCAGATATATGCAGAGAACCCGGGAACTCAGGTGACTCCTCACGGAACGGAAGAACTATAGAACAAGTTACGTGACGATAAGGAAAGTGAGCATACTGTTACGACCCAACATGCATGACCAAGAACAGGGCCTACCCCGCAGGCTTACGGCGGTTACGATACGCCATATATGCACAGGACAAGGGGACACGAGGCACCCTCTCACGGAACGGAAGAACTATGGTATAATTCACGTGATGAAAAGATAAGGATCATTTGGGATTAATATGATCTAATACGACTTAGGGGCTAAACAAGAACTTCTGAACACATACCTCGAAAGGTACCCACTGTTAGTAATTGTTAAGGTTATAGAGGGCTACGTCCCACTGCACTATCATCTCTTAATATCAGCCTATACGAGCTAAATTCTACGACCATGGCGGTCTCCCTAGATGTAGGGCCATCGATCACGGTTTACGGGGACGCCGGTATATCTCGGCGGTCGGGACGAGTCCGGAAGCCGACTGCAAAGGTCAGAGTGGTTGAGCAGGTTAACCACCAGGACAACTCTGAGCTTAAAGACGAGATCAATAAGCTTTCGAATCTTGTCCAGGACCTCCTACGTCGGGACGCCGAGAGGGAACAGTTTTTGAAAGACTGTCCGACGAAGATCGAATCCTTGGAGAGAGAACTTCAGGAGGAGAAACAGCGTTCAAACCGGCATCAACGTGGTCTAGCAAGGTCTATGCACGCTATTAGCACAGGGCCTAGCGAGACTGACCTGAGTTCCCAGGGGCATCCCTCGCACACAACCCAGAACCAGCCGCCCCTAGTCCGTTCATACGCGGCGGCGGCGAGCTAGCTACTGTCCAGAAGACAGGATGAACCAACGCTAGCCAAACAAGGCGCAAAATAAGCTACAAACCGGGCGGCCTTAAAGGATCTACGCGTCTTCGCGCGTCTATCGCCTGAAAGCCCGCTTCGGAACGAGAAAGCCTACGATATATATATCTTCGTTCGGGAAAGGCTAAGTCCCTAAGCCCGAGAAGCCCTTAAGGGGATCGACTATGTTAAGACAGGATTAGTACTCCTATTTTTGTTAATAGATGGTGTAAAAGTCCTGCTAGAGAACAGAGAATAGATCGCTGCCCTTCTCTAAGCGTAAGCGATCGAGCAACGCGATACCTGGATCCGAGCCTATATCGTAAACGTCCCTTATACCAGGTATTGTCTAGTAACCAACACTGAGCTGGAAATTACGACCGAGGAGCTCCTTGAAGAGATCCAGGTCTCGACGAAACTCAAGCCTGAAAAAGCACACTTCTCTAGGAAGGACGAAGTCGAAAGGCTAGGCACGGTGATAGCCTGGTTTAAGGCGGAAGCCGTAAGGCAATTACTAAGATACCTCCGTTTGATAGGGGCCAGCGTTTTTATAAACCTGTAGTTCCCGAAGGAGAAGAGGTCTCCTTAATGTCTCCGCTACGGCGGTTTTTATAGCGAACGAACGTGCACTAGAAGGAAGAGATGCCTCATGTGCAGCTCTCCTTCCTACACAACTGATCAACACCGGGCACCCTGCGGCGGCACTGAGGGTCACGATGGCTGCGACTGCCCCTTTAAATGCCCGTCGTGTAACGGGCCTTACGCCGCCTTCGATGCGACTTGCCCTATCTAACCTAAAGTGGTGAAGGGGGTAGTCTAGAGGAGGGATAAGGCTTAGCTACGGGCCATCCGAGCTGAGGGAGAAAGATTATGGAGAAATGCGACCCAGCAGTCGCATCGATATTCCCGTAAAGAAGAATAAGCGATGGACTGTACCCCGGCGAATGAGATATAAAAGAAGAATATAGCCCTCTAAAACCTTGTAAATCATATAAGCAAATATGGGTAGGCGGGCATCCGCCTACGAAATAGCACTGAACCTGGCTTATGCAGCCTAGATCGATATATTCTTAATATAAGAGCCGTCTATCCGTTCGGAAGAGAGGAGGCTCAGAAGACACCACCCAGGTTTTGAGACTTTCACCCTAGTAGATAACTGGACCGAAGACCGTCCCAGGGTACTTACCTACCTCCGTAGAGGAACTAGGGTACGAGGCGTATAAATACGGCCTCTACCCGATCTATCCATAGACCTGCTCTTCTTACGACTCCTCTTAGGAACGAAGGAGGTCCTTATAGTTATTAACGTATATAACGCCCCTCGTGGCTCTCTGCGATCTGGCTAGGCTCTCAGGAACATCCTAGCGGCCTGGTAACCTAAACCTGAGGATTGAGTACTGATTGCGGGGGATTTTAACTTACACCATTGGACGTGGCAGCCCGAGGCCACGAGTTCCCCGGACGCTGAAAACCTAGTAGAATGGACAGAAGCCGCTAGCCTTGTCCTAATGTTACCTATAGGTGAAACCCACGCCAAAGGCGGCAATACCCTAGATTTATGCTGGGCGTCCAGTAACCTCCATGGGGCTTCCACTAGTATAGAAACGTCACTACATACGACATCAGACCACGAATCTCTGCTTACCCGGGTCCCCTTGGCCCTGATCGATTTACCCAGCCAGACCCCGGGAAGGTTTCGGCTCGATACGATGGACGAGGAGCTTTTCCTCGGCATCATTAAACGCAACTTACAACCCATGCGCCGCACTGCAAGCAACATCCAAGACCCACAGTTTTTAGATCTCCTAGCACAACAGCTTACGGACTGTCTTATTAAAGCACTCACGGCTTCCACAAAGCGCACGCTCGGGAAAGGTACAGGGAGACCATACTAGAGCGAGAGCTGCACACGTAAACACCGAGCCTATATGAGTAAGCAAGCGATATTAGCAAGACTCCGCGCAGCCGGAGTGAACTACTAATGGGAAGAAGAGGAGGTCGAAGCTCTAAAACAGGACTTCCTCTACGAGTTTAAACGCTCCAAGGATGCCTTTTGGAAAGATAAGATCTCCTCAGCCTCCTCAAATAAAAACATATTTAAAATAGTCGGTTAGCACAAAGCCACAGGATCCTTTCAGACCCCGCCACTCCGAGATATAGACAACCAAGACACGCTTATCTCACAACCAAAAGAGAAGCGCGACTTATTTACCCGCATCCTCCTTAGAAACGCTGCAATCTCCGAGGACATACCAACAGAAAGCCCAGTCTTACAAAGGCAAGCTACGCTTCCTTTCCCGCAGGTTACGAAGGACGAGGTACGGTCTTCGGTTCTCACCGCGGGAAACACGACTCCTGGGACCGACGGAATCACTACGACTGCTTTGAAAATAGCATGGCCAGTTATTCAGGATATTGTCCTCTCACTTTATAGCGGGTGTATACGCGAGGGTTAGCATCCTACTTGTTTTAAAGAAGCAACTCTCGTGATCCTAGCAAAACCGGGAAAAAGAGACAAGACACTCCCGCGCTCCTATAGGCTAATTGCGCTCTTGGCCGTCCTCGGAAAAGGCTTAGAGAGACTCATCGCCAGACGACTTACCTAGATCGCAGTTAAACATCGTGTTCTGCACGATCAACAGTTTGGAGCACTCCCTCTTCGCTCTTGCAGCGACCTCATCGCAGCGGCCATCCACGACATCGAGTGCGCCTGGCAAAGAGGCCTGGTTACCTCTATGCTTACGCTCGATATAAAAGGGGCTTTCGACGCCGTGCTCCCAGGACGACTGGTCCGACGCCTCTACGAACAAGGATGGCCGGAGAACCTCGTACGCTGGGTCTCAAGTTTTGTTACCGGAAGGAGAGCAAGAATAAGGCTTGATGGGGAGGTAGGAGACGTCTTCGGTCTCGAATGCGGACTACTATAAGGCTCACCCGTGTCTCCTATTCTAGTTATGCTCTATATTAAACCTCTTTTCAAGCTAGGCATAGCTTGCCTAAGAAGGAAGCGATCTCGTTTCGGCTATACCGATAACGTCGCTATCTTAGTAAGCTTAACATCACTAGAGAACAACTATGACATCCTAACCAAGGAATGGAAAGAAACCTTAGGATGGGGCGCGACGGAAGGAATTACTTTTGACCTTAATAAGTCCGAACTAATCTACTTCACTAAGAGACGAAAAGACGGAAACCTATTAATCATAGTAGGTTTACCGGATAGGAGGTATTATATAGTTTAAGCTATTAAAGAAGGCTCTTCTCTACGCTGGCTCGGCGTTTACTTCGACCGTAAACTCATATTTAAGAGTTACGTAAGAAACCTCTCTATAAAAGCATGCTAAGTAGTTAATGGACTACGGGGACTAGGGAATACTGTCTAGGGCGCGCCTGCGTACTTACTTCGTCAAGCGATCACCTCTTATATATTACCTATTCAGTACTATAAATCTAAAGCATGGTGGCCCGGTAAGAGCCGGATAAAGAATGGACGTACTATCTCAAACGGGGTTGGTAGTCTACTACACTAACTAGACGCAACGCAAACCAAAGCCATCAGAGCGATGGTCCCCGTATACAGAACTACGCCTATACCGATCCTACAGCGCGAGGCGGCTCTACCCCCAGCAGAGGTGATACTGGACGCGAAGCTCCACACAGCGTCCACCAGAATCCATCGTCTGGACGAGCGACACCCTCTCCGAACGAGACTCAGGGACAAATCAGGACCAGACTCACGGCTACGACGAATGGCAAGCCTCGTAAGCAAAATTACCGGATACATCGGTCCGATAGAACTCCCCCCTTGGGAGCAACTAGCGGACTGGCAGACAGCCCTCGCCAGGGTCGGCTACGAACCTAATAAGACGAAAGAAGAACAGGCCCTCTCCTTTGCAGGCAGGATGGCAACTTTCTCCAAGCGGGACATTATTATCTACACTAACGGGTCCCAGATGTCGGACGGCAGCAGCACCTCCGCC